GCTAAAAAATCAGGAAAAGATGCAACTGAGTAGTTAAGAAAAGGTTTCAGGAGATTTATGTTAAAATCACCAACAAGATATGTATTAGATTTAGATTTAAGTTTTACAAAAATGAGATTGAGTACTTGAATAAGCAAATCAATATCCGAATCCGGGGGTCTATAGAAAGCATATAAATATATTATTGCGTTGTTTAATTTGATTTCGATACCCAAGTAGTCAACTACACAATTGGAGAGCGTAACTTCATCCAAGACTGAATAATTGATACCCTCCCTGAGAAAAATCCCAACACCACCACCTTGCTTGTTCGGTCTGTTTTTGAAAATAAAATTGTAATTAGTTAATTTAATAAGTTTAGCAGATAACTCGTTCAACCAAGATTCAGAAATAACTATTATGTTAAAAAAATTATCTAAAGAATTAATCAAAACAAGTAAATCATCAACTTTATGTAATAAACTCCTACTGTTAATGTGCAGAATGGATAGTGAAGAGTTGAATGGAATAATTTTGATTGTATTGAAAGTATAATTAAAATCGTTGATAGTGTAGTAAGGAGAATTATAAGAAAAAGAATTAAGTAAATTAACATCAGGATCAATGTTAGAAAAAAGAATATTATCATTATTGGAGGAAGTAGTTGAATAATTATTTAACAAAACATTCGAAGCTGACGATATAATCAGAGGGTCCTCTTCTGTTATATGATTGTTAGATATTTTAGCCATTGTTAGTTGATGTAGTATGGCCAGATTTACTGTTGAGGAACCGCCATTCACGGATGATTACGTTTTCTGGCAAATTGTCAGGATCTTGAATTTTAGAAGTATCACTGGCGTTGATGCATACTCTGAACATTGTTGAGTCTTCGTCTTCATTACGAGGCAGAGTACCTGACGGAGCCAGAGAGCGCTTCTGCACTGGATAGCACGAAATTACCTGAATACCCACCTCCGATAGGTAGTCAATCACATTACTTCTGCTGCATTTTTTGATGTTGCTCATGGCAAATACAGATTTTTTGATCAATTTTTTATCAGCACTGAGTTTATTATTATCGTTTTTTTTAGCGCCAACTATTTTAGTTGGTAATTTTGATGATTCCAATTTGTTGCTAGTTATTGCAGGATTAGGTTGATTGGTTTCAGGTGAATTGTTAAGTCTTGGTCTTTTTTTGTTACGAGCAACAATACTGAATGGCAAAGGGTTGTCTTCTAATGGAGATTGAACTACATCTGACCAGAGTGTAGCTGAATTAGCTGGATTAGGCATAGTTACGATGTTGTTTTTTTCCGGAAATATGCCGTCGAAGTATA